GTTGATCGCCGGCACGTGAGCCGAACACGTTTTTTTTTTGTCGTTGGAGAGACCTGTTGGCCAGGACATTTCGCCCCAGTGTTGCCAGGGTGCCGGAGGCTGCTGGCACCGCTGTCTCCCTTGTCTGCTGAGTTGCTTTTTCATTGTGTGTGTGTGTGTGTGTGTGTGTGTGTGTGTGTGTGTGTGTGTGTGTGTGTGTGTGTGTGTGTGTGTGTGTGTGTGTGTGTGTGTGTGTGTGTGTGTGTGTGTGTGTGTGTGTGTACTCACCTAATTGTGCTTGCGGGGGTTGAGCTTTGGCTCTTTGGTCCCGCCTCTCAACCGTCAATCAACTGGTGTACAGATTCCTGAGCCTATTGGGCTCTATCATATCTACATTTGAAACTGTGTATGGAGTCAGCCTCCACCACATCACTGCCTAGTGCATTCCATTTACTAACTACTCTGACACTGAAAAAGTTCTTTCTAACGTCTCTGTGGCTCATTTGGTTACTCAGCTTCCACCTGTGTCCCCTTGTTCGCGTCCCACCAGTGTTGAATAGTTCATCCTTGTTTACCCGGTCGATTCCCCTGAGGATTTTGTAGGTTGTGATCATGTCCCCCCTTACTCTTCTGTCTTCCAGTGTCGTAAGGTGCATTTCCCGCAGCCTTTCCTGATAACTCATGCCTCTTAGTTCTGGAACTAGTCTAGTAGCATACCTTTGGACTTTTTACAGCTTCGTCTTGTGCTTGACAAGGTACGGGCTCCATGCCGGGGCCGCATACTCCAGGATTGGTCTTACATATGTGGTGTACAAGATTCTGAATGATTCCTTACACAAGTTCCTGAACGCCGTTCTGATGTTAGCCAGCCTCGGATATGCCGCAGACGTTATTCTCTTTATGTGGGCTTCAGGAGACAGGTTTGGTGTGATATCAACTCCTAGATCTTTCTCTCTGTTCGTTTCATTAAGTACTTCATCTCCTATTCTGTATCCTGTGTTTGGCCTCCTATTTCCACCACCTAGTTTCATTACTTTGCATTTACTCGGGTTGAACTTCAACAGCCATTTGTTGGACCATTCACTCAGTCTGTCTAGGTCATCTTGTAGCCTCCTACTATCGTCCTCAGTTTCAATCCTAATCATAATTTTTGCATCATCGGCAAACATTGAGAGAAACGATTCTATACCCTCTGGAAGATCATTTACATATATCAGAAACAGTATAGGTCCAAGGACTGACCCCTGCGGTACTCCACTCGTAACGTCTCGCCAATCTGAGACCTCACCCCTCACACTGACTTGTTGTCTCCTGTTACTTAGGTACTCCTGTATCCAACGGAGTACCTTCCCTTTCACTCCAGCCGTCCATTCCATGCACCCGCCAAACCCGTGTTTATGAATGAAAAACGGTTTACACACGACTCACAACTGATGAAGTTCGAACACTTCCGGAACAAGTGCTTCGCTGATGACTTTTGTTCGAGCCACAACGCTGTAAATGCTTCACCCACGTACTACAAATACAAATAATCACCAACAGAACCTAAACACCTAACCTAACCAGTATCTAAATATGCACAATATGCTAATATATAATAATATTAATTTATATGTGAGGAAAGTTCTGTTTTGGATGAATAGAATGTTAAAATTGGTGAATGCGTCCTTGGAGTCAACCGCTGAATAGAATGGACTTAGTCTGGGGCAACCCGTCCTCGACTCAAGTTCATTCCATCCAGCGGTCGACCCCACAGACGCATTCATAAATTTTAACATGCTGTTCATTCAAAACAGGAATTTTCTTAAATATAAATTAATATTATAATATATTACCATATTGTGCATATATGAGCATAGGTTAGGTTAGGTGTTTAGGTTCTGTTGGCGATTATTTGTATTTGTAGTACGTGGGTGAAGCATTTACAGCGTTGTGGTTCGAGCAAAGGACATCAATGAAGCACTACTCAAGAAAAATGTATGCTTCATTTGTGTGTAAAAAGTTTTCCACTCATAAACAGTAGGTTTGGCGGGTTGATTAACGAGCATTTAGCCTTTGTGGATGAGGACGGGCTGAGAGCATTTGAAGCGTTGTGGTTCGATGAGAAGTGGTCAGCGAAGCACTCTTCCAGAGGTGTGTAAACGTCACCAGCTGCAAAAAAAAAACATTTTATTGCATAGTTTTAACTGACGAATTCGCCAATGGGGACACCTGGAGTTTGGACGATCACAGCCTGAAGGTTGATTAATGACACCACCAGTTTGGTTCATATTAGTCAACCTATTCTAAAGAACCTATTCTAAATTTACAAGTCTCCGTGGTGTAGTGGTAAGACTTGCCTGGCGTTCCGCGAGCGCTATGTCATGGGTTCGTATCCTGGCCGGGGAGGATTTACTGGGCGCAATTCCTTAACTGTAGCCTCTGTTTAACGCAACAGTAAAATGTGTACTTGGATGAAAAAACGATTCTTCGCGGCGGGGATCGTATTCCAGGGACCTGCCCGAAACGCTACGCGTACTAGTGGCTGTATAAGAATGTAACAACTCTTGTATATATCTCAAAAAAACAAAAACACGGAACCCTGGCAACCAGGGAAGGTCGGCCATATGTGTGAGGACGGGTTGGTTGTGGCGGAGGTCGTCTTAAGTGAAAATATAAAGTGAATTATAAGTGTTTGCCGTTATAATGTTAGCGTGTTAATGTGTGCGTGAGTGTGTGTAGGGTTCTGCGGAAACTGAGGCTTCACGGGAGATGCACCATAGTAGTGAAGATGTTACAGTGACGAAGCTGAAGTGTCCGCTGCCCCTCACGTGTGCTATACCAAGGTTCCTCACCTGGCAGGTAATAACAGTGGCCTCCACAAGTATCTCACTTATATGCAGGCGATGAGTCACAATAACGTGGCTAAAGTAAGTTGACCAGACCACACACTAGAAGGTGAAGGGACGACGACGTTTCGGTCCGTCCTGGACCATTCTCACAATCAACTTGAGAATGGTCCAGGACGGACCGAAACGTCGTCGTCCCTTCACCTTCTAGTGTGTGGGCTGGTCATCCCACTTAAACTCGTCAAATCTTTTTAAGTATTAGGTTTTTTGTTTTAGGCAAAGTTAAGGAAAATTGTGCTGAGGAGTAATTTTATTACATCTGTATATTTGTGATGTGTAGTTGGTTTTATTATTTTACGAACTAATGTGATTATATAAATATACACTTATTACAATCAGAAGTATCATATTATAACCTACAACTTTAATTGACACACTGACTTAATTGTATTAATATTAGTCTCTTAACAGTCTACCAGAGTATAGTAGAGCTTGAGGGACAACATTTGTCTATCACATCACTTTACTAGATAGATGTTCTGATGCAGAGTGAGCCGCCTGGTCCTCTGTGTCTCGGCTACACAGTTTGTGTCATATGACGATGTAAGGGGGGTTGTTTTGTTGTACAGTAAAGGCCTACCAGTCGTGGAAGGACTTTTAAGGCCAAACCGGCACCTCCCTGACCCGCCGGCCCCCCTCCCTGACCCGCCGGCCCCCCTCCCTGACCCGCCAACACTAGTGTCCCTCCGACTATCTCTCCGTCAATCACCACAATTACCAATGTTTTATCACCATAGTTTTACAGCCATCCATCACTATCAAAATTTTATGAGTGGCTGAGATAGAAAAAGCTGCGTCATGACGTGCCCATGACGTGCCCAGGGACATGCCCATGACGTGCCCCAGGACGTGCCCAGGGACATGCCCAGGGACAGATAGTAATTGTGTGACTATTTGTAATTATTCGTAAGGGGCGACAACACTGTGCCTAAATGATACGTTAATGATATGTATTCGTTATGGTGATGCTGGTAGCTGTGTTAATGAGGCGTGAGGTGCTTGCCCTCATGAAGGTGCCGTCACCCTTCACACTCACACACCTCTGGTGGAGGTCACGGTGCTCACTCTCTGGGAACTTGATGTATCAACACCTGGTATTATGACTCCTGCTGGTGACCGGTGGTGACGCCACACGCACGCTACCACCCTGCACGCACTCCCACTGTACGCACCCCGTCTCTGCGTTATTACCCTGCACGCACCTCCTCTCTACGCAACTCCCCCCCCATCCACGCACTCCCCTTCTACGCACCCATCTCCACGCACCCCCTCCTCTCCTATACGCCCCACCTCCTCCACACTACCACCTTCCGAACACAACCCCTTCCCCACACCATCCTCACTATCACAGTGATGGTTATAGTGTTTTGGCCCTCACCATCACACACCGTAGTGTGGGACGGTGTCGGGTAGAAGAGTGATGGATTGTTGGGAGGTTGTGTTGTCACTTGTGGTGTTTGGAGACTACAGTGCCAAGAGGTTGTGGTGCCACCCTCCAGCAGTGATGGCTTGCTACAGTGCCAAGAGGTTGTGGTGCCACCCTCCAGCAGTGATGGCTTGCTACAGTGCCAAGAGGTTGTGGTGCCACCCTCCAGCAGTGATGGCTTGCTACAGTGCCAAGAGGTTGTGGTGCCACCCTCCAGCAGTGATGGCTTGCTACAGTGCCAAGAGGTTGTGGTGCCACCCTCCAGCAGTGATGGCTTGCTACAGTGCCAAGAGGTTGTGGTGCCACCCTCCAGCAGTGATGGCTTGCTACAGTGCCAAGAGGTTGTGGTGCCACCCTCCAGCAGTGATGGCTTGCTACAGTGCCAAGAGGTTGTGGTGCCACCCTCCAGCAGTGATGGCTTGCTACAGTGCCAAGAGGTTGTGGTGCCACCCTCCAGCAGTGATGGCTTGCTACAGTGCCAAGAGGTTGTGGTGCCACCCTCCAGCAGTGATGGCTTGCTACAGTGCCAAGAGGTTGTGGTGCCACCCTCCAGCAGTGATGGCTTGCTACAGTGCTACAAGGTTGTGGTGCCACCCTCCAGCAGTGATGGCTTGCTACAGTGCCAAGAGGTTGTGGTGCCACCCTCCAGCAGTGATGGCTTGCTACAGAGCTACAAGGTCGCTGGGTTTGGATACATTTTGCTGTAGCAAATTGTTTTTTTTAGTAACTATTGTCAAGCTGGAAAAAAACTAGTGTGGAGAACATGTTAGCAGCATGATCAGCTACACTATTTACGGGGGTTCGATAGACACTTTTACAAACTGTATAAAAACTGTAGGTACAGCTGTAATTTCTAGGTACAGGGATAATCTATTATAAAGCCGTTTGATTTATAGCAAGTTGGGAAAAGTGGAAATAGCGTTCTGCTTAGAGCCACAGTGTGCTGAAGGCCGGGAGTCACCGGAGACCTGTTGTGTTGAACCTTGTCATCACGACCGTGTCCGCCTCGGAGAGTGGTGACGGCCGCTGGTAATGTACTACCGGCGGGGAAGGGGCGTGCAGGTCCGGCTGGGGGCGGTCAATATTAACGGTGGGTGGTGAAGTGGGGCCTCGAGTGGGCCAGGCGGAAAGTTGGAGTGATTATTGCTATTACTTGACTGCCGTCCACCATGTTACACTTGCCTGCCACGGGTCGTGTTGCTCTCTTGACCCGCACTGTGTACTCCCCTAGATGTACTCGCCTAGATGTACCCGCCTAGATGTACCCGCCTAGATGTACTCGCCTAGATGTACCCACCTAGATGTACCCGCCAAGATGTACCCGCCTAGATGTACTCGCCTAGATGTACTCGCCTAGTTCTCCCAGGGTCTGCTCTTAAGCCCGCCTCTCGACCATAATTAGTTCAAAGCCATGACTTTTTTTTTTTGCTGGGTTTCCTTGTCCAATTTACATTTAAAACTGTCTCGAATTGAATTCGACAAATTCCTCATCTATAGTCCATTCCACTTATTTACGACTCTTAGTGAAATAGTTCTTTCTGAATTCTGACTCGTCTGTTTCCAGCTTTCACTGAGGATTTCTCGTTCCAATGTTCTTTAAATTGAACTTTGCTTTTAGATTTTTTACAATCCTTCTTAGTATCTTGTACGTCGTTATCATTTCTCTTTTATTCATTTTCTTCCAGTGTAGTGGAGTCCAACTCCCTAAGACTTCTTTCTTCATAGCTCGATCTCCTTACCTTGATACCTGGAGCTTTGTAATTACTTTATTCACTCTCGTATTCTTGAAGATATCCTCACAGTGTACCCACAATTTGCCCGTGCAGGCTACTAAACACATGGTCCTGTATGACTAACCATCCTGCGAGATGGGGACTTTTATTACTACTGCTACCTTATTCACTCTTGTATTGTTGATATCCTCTAAATGCATCCAGAGTCTGCCAGTGCAGACTGCTTATCACATGCCTCTGTATGACTAACCATCCTGTGTGATGGGGATTTTTTAGCATCACCTAGTTAGCTTTTTTGACACACTGTACTCCACTTCATATAGTCTACGGTAGCTGCACTAATGCAGATGTATCTCGTGTATTAATAATAAAAAATCCTTACCTCGGGAACAAGCCTTTGTGAACCTTTTTACCTTTTGTTTAGGTAGGCGTTCCAAGCCGGGGCCGCGTACGAAATATAACAAGGTACTTACATACAGCGATCGAAAAGGAAATTTTGTCCAGATTAGTAAAAAATAACCGGACGTTTGCCAGTAAGCCATTTCCTGCCAATCGTTAGTTATAATAATAATTCATTGTGTTGGGGGGACAGGTAGCCAGGGTATATAAACATGTTAGGCTTATATCGAGGTCCCCTACCATACATCGAACTACTGACCCTTCCCAGGATGCAACCCCATAACAATCTAACTCCTGGGTGTTTATTTACTGCAAAGTGAATAGGTGCATTAGGTGACAGGAAAGGCTCCCAACCACTTCTGTTTCGCCTGGGATTCGAAAACGGAATTCTGGAGTGTCAGTTACGACTGTACTATCCCGACTGTACTATCTGGACCACTGTATTCACCTAGTTGTGCTCGCGGGGGTTGAACTCTGCTGTTTCGGCCCGCCTCTCAACTGTCAATCAATTGTTACTAGCTATTAACTAATTTTTTTCTACACACACACACACACACACACACACACACACACACACACACACACACACACACACACACACACCGGTGGCTGAGCGGACAGCACGCTGGACGCGTGATCCTGTGGTCGCGGGTTCGATTCCCGCTGCCGGCGAGAAACAATGGGCAGAGTTTCTTTCACCCTGATGCCCCTGTTACCTAGCAGTAAATAGGTACCTGGGAGTTAGTCAGCTGTCACGGGCTGCTTCCTGGGGTGTGTGTATGTGTGTGGTGTGGGGGGAAAAAAGTAGTAGTTAGTAACAGTTGATTGACAGTTGAGAGGCGGGACGAAAGAGGAGAGCTCAATCCCCGCAAGCACAACTAGGCGAATACACACACACACACACACACACACACACACACACACACACACACACACACACACACACACACACACACACACACACACACACACACACACACACACACACACACACACACACCAGGAAGCAGCCCGTGACAGCTGACTAACTTCCAGGTACCTATTTACTGCTAGGTAACGGGGGCATTCAGGGTGAAAGAAACTTTGCCCATTTGTTTTTGCCTGGTCCGAGAATCGAACCCGGGCCACAGAATTACAAGTCCTGCGCGCTGTCAGCTTAGCGACCAGACACCCATTGGGGGGGGGGGGTCCACACACACCCCTACTGTGTGTGTGTGTGTGTGTGTGTGTGTGTGTTTCGCCCACGTTCGAGTACTCTTGAGGGGTCATAGTGTGGTGATAACAGTATTCGGGGACCATTCAACGTTTGCACACAAATATACACTTAGTGCGACTCCATAATGTAGAGGGAAGTGATGAAGTAATTAATGAAGTGTCCAGCAGCACCACGAGTGTTGCCGGGGACGGGGGACCAGAGAGACTCGGGACCACTCGCTTGTATCACAGAGAACCGGATGTGGTGGGGGGGGGGGATTGTCAGTAATTACTGTTGTTTATTATAAACCATTTAACTTAGGCCACCTGGCCCAGCCTATGTACGTCCCATACCCCAGACCCTTTACCCTACAAATTTGGGTAAGACTAATTGAAGCGTCTAGCCTCTAACTGTACACATATTCTTCCTTATAGTATAATGTATATTATATAATATACGAATGAGTTTGAATAGGTATAAATTTTAGCTGCTTCGCGTGTCAACAAATCTTCTGCAGTTTCATTTATGCTTATGTACCAATTATTATACAATACCTTAGTACATTATTTTGCAATAATTGTCACACTGCTCCTGGGGCTGTTCTCGTAACACTTGTGTATTTGTTTCTGGTCCTCTTTAATCCCGTTCATTTGCCTCAATCCTCCGCCTTCACCATATTTACCAAATCACAATTTTTTATGGTGTTCTTGTATTGTGTTTAGAACCATGAGTTCACGTTGTGTTTATCTCCTTGATGTGTTCCGAGCGGTTCGTTCTTTTTCATATATTTGTCGTCTGTGTACTCTTGTCTTTTTTGTTGTCTTCCTTCTTGTCGTGTCTTCCTTATTGTCTGACGTGTTATACACACTGTTCTGCAGGTGGAGGATGACGGGGAGCACTGACAGTGTGGTCAGTGGCTGTCTTATCCCGTCAATATCCACCTCCCTCTGGGTGAACCTGTCTAAGGTTGCCAGTTCATCTCGCCGCCTCCTTGTGCTAGCTACGGTCTCAAGAAATGCATCTCTTCAAACTTCCGCCCTCCTCGTATCATCCCCTTAGAAGGAACCCATTTTTACCCCGAAAATTTCCGTAATTAAAATCACAAAGCACTTTTATCTAAGCCCTTGATCCTCTTCCCTCTGCCCCTCTATGACCTTCAAACTATTTTCCGTTGTTTTCGTCAATTTCATCCTTGGTTCCTCTCGCTTGACGGAGGACTCTTTATGATCACTGTGGCTTTACTGTTCCTGGTTGTTACCATGCCTCTGATGCACTGCTGTGGATTACAGGGGCTCGCCATAGCCCGTGCTGCTTAGAACTTTTTGTTCCAGGTAGCGAATCTTAAACAACAACAGCAGCTGTGGATTAGCCTCGTCTGCCACATCATTGTCAATATCTCTTATACTTTCTCTTTATTCCTGGTCTTTCACTTTATTACCCTGCCAGCCACTTATAAAGACTTCCTCCCCGATTGTTGCCTGCGTATGTTACGCTGTGTAGCCGTCTCTTATACACTCTGTTGGCGTTCCTCTAACATGGTTTATACCATCAAGATTCTCGTACATTACTTGTATATGTTCATTAGGTACCATGAGGAGCTGTGTGGGAAGGGGTGTGTTATTGTAGAGTACTGTGGTAAGGGGTCCCACGGTGTTGGCCAGCTGCTGGACCACGGTGTTGGCCAGGTGCTGGACCACGGTGTTGGCCAGCTGCTGGACCACGGTGTTGGCCAGCTGCTGGACCACGGTGTTGGCCAGCTGCTGGACCACGGTGTTGGCCAGCTGCTGGACCACGGTGTTGGCCAGCTGCTGGACCACGGTGTTGGCCAGGTGCTGGACCACGGTGTTGGCCAGCTGCTGGACCACGGTGTTGGCCAGCTGCTGGACCACGGTGTTGGCCAGCTGCTGGACCACGGTGTTGGCCAGGTGCTGGACCACGGTGTTGGCCAGCTGCTGGACCACGGTGTTGGCCAGCTGCTGGACCACGGTGTTGGCCAGCTGCTGGACCACGGTGTTGGCCAGTTGCTGGACCACGGTGTTGGCCAGCTGCTGGACCACGGTGTTGGCCAGCTGCTGGACCACGGTGTTGGCCAGCTGCTGGACCACGGTGTTGGCCAGCTGCTGGACCACGGTGTTGGCCAGCTGCTGGACCACGGTGTTGGCCAGCTGCTGGACCACGGTGTTGGCCAGCTGCTGGACCACGGTGTTGGCCAGCTGCTGGACCACGGTGTTGGCGTGCTGCTGGACCACGGTGTTGGCCAGCTGCTGGACCACGGTGTTGGCCAGCTGCTGGACCACGGTGTTGGCCAGCTGCTGGACCACGGTGTTGGCCAGCTGCTGGACCACGGTAGAGAGGGAAAAGTGAGAGAGAAAGGAGAGAG